TTTATTGCCTTGGCTATACTCTGGTTGAGTCTCGTGTATCTCGTCCTGTCGGTCGTTGAGGAGTGGGCGGTAGCAGCCAAGTCAACGGCCGCCGAGGCCCCGGAAAAGACGGATCTCATTGTTGCCGAGCCTGCACCAGCGACAGAACTGCCAACTGCATCCAAACTAAAGACTTTGATGGCATTGGGCTACGAAAGGGAAACCCGGTTTGACTTGGATCAGAGAAACGCTTGGCGTTGGTCGAACGGGTCATGTCCAATGGCTGCAGTAGGCATTACACATGTGGCGCGTACTCGCCATGCACCCATCGCCTACCTCACATTTATATCAAATGAGAAGTTTGTGGATGGTGCTCTGGTACTTGGTACATCATTACGTAAGACCTCTGTCTTTTTGCAGCATGGGGTGGCGGATTTGGTTATCACGATTACCTCCAACTGCGTTAGTGCGGTGTCTCGAAAGCGCTTGCTTGAAGAAGGAGGATATACCCATGTGTTTGAGGTCCCTTCCTTGGCAGGCCGCATTCATGCGAAATCTGGCATATTTCGTGATACCTTTGACAAGATATACATGTTTAACCTTACCATGTATGAGAAGATTGTCTTTTTGGATGCTGACATGATTGCGATACGGAGTATGGACAAACTTTTTTCAAAACCCAAGATTTGGGGTCCGGATTACGTTGCAGCGGTTGGGGGAAATGATTACTTTCAGACCGGCATGATGATCATTATTCCAACACAAGAGATGTTTAACTGCATTTATGACCGACTTATTCGTGGGACACCACCAAATGGCTTTCAATTTACCGGATCATCGGCTCGTGATGGAGTACTGTTGCGGGATGTGTTTCAAACAAGGTTCCACGCAATCAACCCAAAGTACAGTCGAAACCTTAACCCCCGACATCGACTGGACATGAAACTTCCTGGCAAACAGTCCATTGTGGCCGTTCATCTACGCGGAATAATAAAGCCATGGCACGACAGGCGGCTACCAAACCCTCACACTGAACTTGGGAAAAAAGAGTTTGGCTTTACGTACCTGCATTGGTGGACCCTGTATGAGGAGGAAATACACAAAAAAAGTGCTTACTATCTTAAGGCGCTTGAGTTTCATTCGAAGGGACATGCACCAGGTTCAGAAGCCATTGTTGTAGACGGTATCGCATTTGGAATGCAAAACACCGATGCAGGTGGGTCTATTGTTTCACCCTTGACGCACGTATGGATGCAACGGCACTCCAAGGATGCATACACGCAGCTTCTGTCATCTGAGGAAAAGAGGCAACGCAATCGCACGCTTCCTTCCATGCGAAAAATACCCAGTCCTCATTTCGGTCTTTCATGCGATGCCGTATGTGCTCAAGCGGGATTACGATGCGCTTTGGAAGCGCTTTACTTTACATCACTCAATGACTGTGAAGAATTGCGGTCTGTATTTGGATGCAGCAGGTGCGAAATGGGTGTCTACTGGCGACCGCACCCCGGGAACGACTTCCCCGCCGTGGAGGATGTATCGCAGGAACTGGAGCATGAAAACAAGGAACGTAAAAGTCGGCTCAGGGATAATTCGACCAATTTGGTATGTAGGTATAACTACCTGCATGATGCGCGAGGAGTTCCGAACTGCACTGCCAGCTACACGACGACTCGTCGTTACTGCCCCTGCGTGCCCAAACCGTAATATATGAGACGCGTTTCCCTGTTGCCATGGTTTAATTTTTCAGTCATTCTTTTTCTTTTATTTTATTTTTCTCCTCTCTCTCTCTCTCTCTCTCTCTGTGTGTGTGTGTGTTTGTTCTCATCACTGAGCTTTATTTTCATTTTATTTTGTGTTTTTTCTCTTGTGTGTCATTGTGTTTGTTTGTTTCTTTGTTTGTTTGCTTTTTTGCACCTTCTGACTAGCCTGACGCACCACGGCATTGATAGAGTGGGGAGAGGGAACGTACCACTTACACAGCAAGGCAATTTTTGCACCATCTACATGATGCGACGGGGAATTGGGCAACACGCAACGGGACTTGTGGCGGCAACAGTGGCACCAGCAGCTGCTGTGAATTTTCCCTCCAGTGTTCTTGTGACACCCTCACGGGGAAAATACGTGCGCCAACCCAGCCCGCAGTGGGACCCGCTTCACGAAGACATCAACGCACACGTGAAGAAGCGTATACCCGGTGAGACTCGTGTAGATCGTGTTCGGCGCTTTGCACGTGAGTGGCGTAATGTGGAATTAGAATTAGGTGTTTACAAGGATTCTCGTGGACGGGAGATCAAGTACAGAAAAACATTTGTGTACCGCTACACTTACCCCAATGCCTTTGATGAATTTTGGTGGCCGTGCAAATAAGTCATTAGGGCAGAGTAGAAGCAACAACAAAAGAACGCATAAAAGGGTGTGTGGGTGATGAGGAAATGTAGTAGAAAAAAAAAAAAAAAGAAAAAAAAAAAAAAGGGAGGGTTAGGGGGGTAGATAGTACATGTATATTTGGGTATCGGTAGGAATAATATGAACGTTTCTGTGTACGTGTATATCTATGTGTGCATACTTATATATATATATATATTCTCAAATATATTATGGCACGAATGCACAAGGAAAGAGACGTCTGTATGACTGTTTGTTTTTTTTTTTTCTACTACGGATGTCAGTTATACCGCTATGGGGTCAATAGTCATTTGTAATTTTAAATTACATCTTTGCAGTAAGTATGGCAATGGAATTACTCCAAGCAGAATTGATGTGACGTGTATGATCCTGTTGTTTTCTGTCTTTCTGTTGTTGTTGTTGTCTTTTCCCTTTTTGCAGGTCCTTTTCATGTTTTCGTTTTCTTTTCTTTCTCTTCCTCTCTTATTTTGTTGTTGTTGCTTTCTTTATTTGTCTGGTTCCCTGTACACGGTACACGGGAAATGCGTCATGCGTTTACGGCACAAAAAAGATGATAGTAGACTAGACCAAAAAATAAAGGAGTTTGACGTTGGATGGCTGATCGCAATATAGCTGTGGCGACATCTCCGCTTTTAGCAGATGGCAACGATGACGACTGCACCTTCTCGGATCAGTTTGCCCTCATTGCCCGTCGCATGAGTCGTGCACTCTTGCGACACCCACAGTTGGGGTTATTTTACGACTACCCACATGTTATGTACGAGGCTTTGCATGATTTTTTTGCACACTGGTCAGCTCGCCAACAGCGTGCATCCTCCCTTAGTCTTACAATGGAGCAGACGATGAATCTATTGCGGTACGGAGAGTCCACCATACGAAGTGTGGGGCTTTCAGAAGATGCGCTTGTGCGGGCGCAGACGGCGGCGGAACTTGTAGCCGTCTCCCCTCTCATCGCCATTGAGTCCTTGTCGCATGAACTGCGGAGCGTACAGGTCTCTGTGGGAATGATCCCTCTCGCGGAGATTGTGGAACTCGCTCGCGTGCTTGACAATGCGCAGGGGCTTGTAACGCCTTTCGGTGCTCTCAACCTCGTGCATCTCGTGGCTCTCGGCGCAACCCTCTGTTTAGCGCCGGAAATGAAGACCCTCCTGCTGATGGTGTCCAGCTGTCTACACCACCGCCTGCTGTGTGCCGCCGTTTTCTATGAGTGGTCACTAATCGATAAACCAAACGCCAATGCTTTGCGTGAATTATCGAAAAGAGTGGAGAACGAGGCTTCCGACGACGGAATCAAGGAAGTCATCAATTCCATGCTCGGAAGCACACTTGAGGGCTTTGGAAGTCAGCCTACAGATCCCGTGATAACAGATGCCACCATCGAGGTCACTGCTCCACCAGCCGACTGTATTGCGTCATCCTCTCCCGGTACTCGGCCCCAAAAGAGTGAGGAAACGTTTCCCACTGCACTGCACAAAGATGGTAGCGGTGGCTGTAAGTCCTTCGAGGAGGATGTGGAGCTAAATGATGGAAGCGACATTGGGGTGACCGACACGGTTGATGTGGAGTTTTGGCGTCGGCTGTGCAGTTGAAGAAAAAGGAAGGGAAAGAGTGGAAATGCGAGAGAGAACCCGGTTTTATTATTATTATTATTTATTATCTTCTTTGTCTCTGTTTGCGTTGCGTCATGTGTTGACGTGCTACCTTATTAAATGTCCCCTTTTCTTCTTTACTCTCTAGGGACATATGGAAGGGATGTTTGCGAGGAAATCTGGTTCGCCAAAATAATACATCTCTTAGCATGACGGATATATTTCTGTAGGCATTTTTTGTATCTTATGAATTTCGGGAAGACTACGACCTTAGGGGATCAGGGAGTCGATAGCAATAAGACAACTTTTTTTTTTACTATTATTGATTACAGCCAATTCGATTGAAAGAAATGGCAGTGGTTTCTTTTACACGGCGACGGGGAGGAGCAACATTGGTGCCCGCATGTTGGACTTGGCAAGCCAGCATGGCGATGTACGGGTGCAGCTCGCCTTCGTTGATGAACACGGGCCGTTGGATGCGGTGGTAGCCGCCGCCGCAACAATGACAGGCTTACGCTTGGTTTCAGGAAACATCGCCATGCACTGGGAGGAGTCGACCGTTGCGGGGCACTTTGCGAATCACCGGGCGCCTCAAGTACCTAATCTCGAGGTTCGAGTGCTGCTGCCCATCGTGTGTGTGCTGCCCGGGAGTTGGGGGTCCAGCAGGGGCTGATCATTGCTGGAGGGCAGAGACTGAGCACCGACTACGCCAGCGCCTTCGCGGACGTTGCGGATCGGAGTGCTCAGCTTTACTCTCAGGTGGAAGAGGCGCATAATTACCTGTCGGCACGCGGATCTCACATTGCGGTGGCCGGCGGTTTTCTTGCGGGACGCGGAGACGCCGTGTCAACGCGAGGCGTCCACCTCTCGGAGAGGGCCGCCAGATGGCGTAAACACACAGCCGCATCAACGGCATCGTTTGATGGCTGGGGGCGTGCCAGCATCCACGTTTCCCCAACGCAATCTCACGGGAGAGAGACGGCGGGTCAACACCCATACGTCTCAGGGCAATTTTGGGCGACCACACCTCCCTCACTCGATGCCTTTGCCCTCCCACACCTTCCACTTCGAAGATGACTCCGGTGCAGAGGATCAGGTACTGCATTTCCTTGCATTGGACGTTGACACTTGGGCCCCGCGTGTATGGAATGACGTCGTCTCCGGAGTCCTCGTCGACCTCCGATGCGCATACGGTTATTATTTGCGCTAAGTGGACTCTCAGGTTCAAATGGCCATCGACGGTTTTGTGTTGTGCAGACGCGCACTGGAGATAGATCGGGAGCCCACCGATCAGTTCGTGGATTTTGGCAGGGCCCTACCGCAGACCTTCCGGACGCAGATCGCGATAGCAACCGACCCCAGCATATCCCGCCCTCCACACTTCGTGCCCGCCTTCACATGGCCGTTCACGAGGCTGACACCTTCGCGAGGGCGACCCAGCCTCTTGTGGAGCGGCGCGTAACCCAACAAAAACAACGATTGTCGCGATGTCAGTTGCATCGTATTTATGGACACGATGCATCTACACGCAACGTGCGCAGCGCAGCCAGTATGGATTACTCGCAGCGCAGTCGGCCATTAAAAAACGGCGAGGGGCTGCCGGCTGCTTACGTGGGCGGACGAAAACAGCCCCATCCATTCCACCACCTCCCGCCAATCCGCACACAAGACGTCGCACCGTGCCGCAGACACTTCATCCGATATTTTGAATCGCCCGAAACAATTGACGAGAAGGGCAATGGAGCTTATCCGCAAAGAAATTCAACCGTGGTACGACGAACCTCCGACATCCCCGCTTTGGGCCAGCTACATGAGGGGAGCGAAAGAGGCGGCTCGAGAGATGTGGGCGCCGTCAAAGTGGCAGCAGAGAATGACTCTAGCGGGCAATTTACAGCCTTTTGCTGCACGCACAAACAGCCGATCAACGCGGAGAGCTGCGCAGCCTTTTTGGCGGTAATAGTCTGCGTGGCGCCATCGACCCGACGGCAGCACGCCAGGATGCCGCGGTCCATGTTGCAAATGGATTGAACCCCGCTGGGCATGGCGATTCTGGGGCTACAAAAAATTGCGGCGCGATAAGAGGCGAAGCAGGCGCGCCACTTGATAGAGGAAGGGATGGATCAATATATCCGTAGCCGGACTGACTGGAAGCAACGTGTTGTTTTTCGACTTGCGTGGATAACGGCGAGCTGTTGGCCCGAGATTGCGGCCTTAACCCCAACAATTCCACACTGGAGCCGGACGGGACCATAATTCTGGATTGGTTCGTATCCTGAAAGACGGCGAGGGCGGATCCCCACCGCGCCTCACGGTCCGTCAGGATACGAGGGCAGGAGGACGTGTTAGACACCATAAAGTTATGCAGGACACTTCGACACAACGAGAAGCTCACGAATTTGACGGCTGCCCACGTGGAGCGAACCCTGGCTCCTTGGAATGAGACGGCGCATTCCACAAAACGGGGTGCGCTGAGACACGCGACTCAAATTGTGGAGACATACGATTGGGACCCACACGTGATCTCGCCGTTGGCGGTGCACGTCGATCCGTTCGACCTTCCCCAGAACACAGTCCGATATTTGAGGAGGCACACCACAATGCTGACCCAGGTGTCGTCGCTGGTCGCATTGATGTAAAGGGGGAACGGCGGAAGGGCAGGAACCCTGGTTGTGAGCGGAGGAGTGTTTTTCCATGATTTTTGGTATCATGCTGCTACAATAACAAGACGCACGACAAGGACGCGTCCGGCCACTCCACAAGAGGAACGAACCATCCCGCTACAACAACAAGTTAATGTGCCCGTATTGAATCTGGAGTGGATCCAGAGCCGGTTGAACTCGGCCACCTTGGAGAGACTCATGCAATTGTGTGGACACGTTGGGCGGTCCCCTTTACCTTTATCCTCCTCCGGTAACGCGCGCTAAGGCTCACGGAGGATTCCAGTCGCTGACGCGCGATTAATGAAGGAAGCGGGAATAATCGAGGACGCTTCGTTCACAGTAACAAGCGGCGGATGGATGATGCCCTTTTCTGTGGTGGAGGAAAAAACCACCGCTTTACGACGACGATGGATCGCGTGGCCACGCGACGAGAAGAGAGACGACCCTTACGAGGCTCATGCTCCTCTTTTACACATTTCCCATTATTTGCCACCTGTGATAACTGAGGCCGCCTCCTGCCTGGATTTAAAGGCATTTCTTTTTCTTTCTTTGTTGCTGCGGGGACTCGGCATCTCTTTTGATGCCGCGTGGAGGATGGCACGCTGGTGGAGCTGGCACGGCTCCCAATGGGATACAAGGCCAGCCCAGAAATTCCCCAGATCATTATTACTTCGGCAATTGCGGGGGTGACGACGGTGGTTCACTTTCTCCGAGCTGCACCTCCATTGGTGCGTATCGACGTATGGATCGATGATATACGCATTGCAGGGTCGAAAAGCGACGCGACATTGTGGGAAGTCCAAGTACTTCGTAATGCGGATGGCCGTCACGCCACGATGGAGGAGGATCACGAATTGGGCGCCACGCATTACACCTTCCTGGGGTGCGGTTTGATCACTCACATCAGGCGGTGTCCCTGAGAGATGAGTTTGCCCGGTCTGTGCGCGCCATGCCGTCGCTGAAGTATTTAACCATCGCAGAAATGGAGGCGATGGCGTCACGGTTTTTGTACGCGGCTGCCATTTTTGTTCAGGCGTTTATGTGACTACTACTTTCACATCAAGGCAGTGCGACGACGATTATCGGCACTTAACCGGGGGATTGTGCAGGAGACATCCCCGGCGAACCTTCCGCCGTCAGCGGTTGGTTTGGGCGAGAGATTACGACACATCACCGAGAAAATAATCGTAAGCGGATCATCAAGCCCACGGAAAAGGCATCCGCCGCCATCATCACTTATGTGTCGCTCTGTGGATGGTGAGCCGTTTTCATTCCAGACACCGGCGACGTTAAAATCGCCGGAGGAGAGTGGAAGAGCCTTTTCCTATCATGCAGGCCGAGGCACGCGCGTTACGCTTAGCCTTATCGGCTTTTTCCGCCTTCTTTTTGCCCACCATGGACGTTTGGGTGGACAACACTTCGCTGCAAGGAGCGGCGAATAAAGGCAGCTCAAAATCAAACGCCATGGCGTGGGAGCTGCGGCGGATATATGAGTTTTTGGACTCTCGCAGATTACAGGCATCCGTTGCCTACGTACGGTGTGCAGAAAACCCCGCAGACGGCATATCACGCGGTCGTGTTTTTACGCTTCAGGACGTGGCGAAGGGGTGGAACTTGCGAAGGGCAGCGGCGGGGTCTTTTGGCTGGAGGACCCCAAAGTCTGCCACTTCTCAATTAATATATATATATCCAATCCGAGTAGAGTGAGCGGGCCACAATTGTGGCTAATGGATGATGTATATATACATACATTTACTTGGTGTAAAGTTTGGGGATGTGGTGAACCCGCTCTTATTCCATTTACTTCTCGTTCCCGTCTAGTTTGCTTTCTGTGATTGATAACCTCAGGATGAGGAAAGCGGCCCAGGTGAATATTTATTTTGTGTCACTGAGTGAAGCACTGCCATTCCGTTGAAAGCGGGATGGCTGTGTAAATTTTGGTGCCGCGTGACTGGCGGATGGGTGAGGACCCACTTCAACGTCTGGCTCTTTGAGTGCTCGCTCCGGGTGCGTTGTGTGTTGGCTGCGGGGATGTGGCCGCATCCCGTTGGCTGTGGGATTGAACTGGAGGCGGTGGCGGTGTGTGCGTTTGTTGTGTGGAGGGCCGAATCCTCTCACCCGCGGACTGACAGCACTGCGGTGTTTGTGTGTTTCAGCGGCGTTGTGCGAGCATGTCCTCTTTTGGAGTGTGTGCGGTGACGGAGGTGCCACACGGGTGTGCGACCGTAGCGAGCGGAATGCGTGGGCGAACCCTCCGCGCCCACCACGTTGTTGTTGTAGACCCTCTCCAACACTGTGCTGGGTGGATGGTGCCCGCTTGTCGTCGTTGCGGTGGTCTCCGTGCATGTGGTGTGCGTCACGCTGTGTGGATGACTCTATTTTTGTGGCTGCTAGTCATATCCGTGCGTATCTCATTTCTTTCTTATTCCCCTTTTGATTATTTGTTTGTTAGTGTTCAGCTTTAACTCGATCCAACTAAGAAAACAAGGAGAAACAATGTCTGGAAGACCAGAGAAAGGACTTTACGGTAATGAGGAGGGCCAAGCGTCTGCTGTGCCACAGGGAGATTCTCGGAGGAGAGCGAGGTCGGACCTTGAGGGTGACACAGATCAGCCCGCTGCGACTCCCATAAGAGTGGAGGAAGCGCAACTACGGTGGACCATGTGCAGCTACGTGAGGGACATCCTGCTGGACGGAGAGACCGACATTTCCAAGATAAAGCTGAATGATTTCTTCGGGA